ACCCTGTCTCTACTAAAAACATGGAAATTTGCTGGGATTGGTGATGCACACCTGTAATTTCAGCGACTTGGGAGGCTGAGGCACGAGAATTGCTTGAACATGGAAGATGGAGGTTGCAGTGAGCTGAGATCACACCACTGCACTCCAGCCTGGGTAATGGAGTGAAACTCTGTCTCAAAAAAAAGAAAAAGAAAAAGAAAAAAAAAGGATATAATGCAATCTATTATTAAAAAATAGTTTTTAATATCAAAACAAAATTCTAAACAGTTGATTAGCAAGAATTACTAGGCTTTTATTATGTAAGTTTTGATAGCATCTCCTATTTAGAGGCATGGAGAAGGCTAGAAGACATGCAAGTATCAGATGAACCATATTTTATAACATAGGGCCTAAAAATATAAACAAATTTATAATTTAGAAAAACCAATTCTGTTACCCTATTCCTATAAAATATAAAAAGATGAACTTTACTATACATGATATTCTATTTTTCTTTTTAATAAAACTGGAAATAAATCTGTTGATTAAATTTTTCATTTTATCTAGAGCTCATACCCATTGACAAAATCTTTGTTGTTTTTCATTCATCCTATTCATAATTTTCATTCTTCATTTTTTTCTTACAACACACACATCCCACAAACAATTTTCCTTTGTGTTTTACAGATTAAGCGAATTATTGACAATTATTGACTATAAGAAATTAGGATTTTAAGGGAGAAGTTTTACATTATTTTACTTTCATCAAATTAGTATTTGAGCTTTCTACCAATAACTTCTGACCTCATTTAAAAATATTAGCAGCCGGGCGTCGTGGCTCAAACCTGTAATCCCAGCACTCTGGGAGGCTGAGGTGGGTGGATCACGAGGTCAAGAGCGATCCATGGTGACACCCCTTCTCTACTAAAAATACAAAAAATTAGCTGGACATGGTGGCGCGTGCCTGTAATCCCAGCTACTCAGGAGGCTGAGGCAGGAGAATTGCCTGAACCCAGGAGGCAGAGGTTGTGGTAAGCTAAGATAGCGCCATTGCACTCCACCCTGGGTAACAAGAGTGAAACTCCATCTCAAAAAAAAAAAAAAAAATTAGCAATCCTGATGTACATAACATAGGTAAATATGTCTAGAAACAGCTTCTTCTCTTTAGGTACAACTATCAAGGATGACAAATTACTATATAATTTAGGTCCAGAATTATATTTCTAAATTCCTATCTGACACATCATTGTTACATTTTAACTATTATAAGAACTGCAAATACTCTAGGGTGTAAAGTAAAAGGGAAGTTAGTAAAATTACTTTTCAGTGGGCATATATTGATTTTATGTTTGCTTATTTATTATTTTATTAGTATTATATAATAGCCCACAAGTGCTACAAAACTTTTGCCCTATTCATATCATATGTATTTATATATACATATAAAATATGAGGTAAACCTATTAAAATTCAAGTTATTCAAAATCAGGTAAATTGTTTCTTTTTAAAAATAGATATTAAACATATTTACATATACTTTAAACCCATTTAAGAAACCCCTAATATAATTTTACCTATGGAGCTGCTATAAGCATATATTAATATAAGAGCACCTCAGTAGTTTTCAAGTAACTAAAAAACTTTAAGAATAAAATGCTGCTCAATTTTTGAATAATGAAATATATAAGGCCATGGAAACAGACATTTGTCAACTAGTAGTACTAAAAAAGAAAACAAAAAACAACAAAACAGATATTAGAATAGCAGAAATTCAAGGTTTCTGATTTATGGAATACAGGGATGGGAAAGATCAAATATGAAGTTTACTCTATCAAAATTAAGAAATAATTTAACAAGATTCTAAAGATTTCATTGACATACTTTGGGTAAAAGGCTACAGTTGTCTATTTGTTGGCTACATGCAAAAAAGAAAAACCATCAAATGTGTTCATTTGGTAGTTACATACGTTACATAGCAACAAATAAAATAATATTTAACTCTTACAAATTAACTTCTTATGTAAATACCAGGAAATAGTTCTCACTGAATACTCACAGCCACCTTGGTAAATAGGTACTTCCATTTCCCTCACTTGACAGAAAACTAAGGCACAGAGTGGTTAAATGACTAGTCTATTGAGGTAGAAGACAAAAGTACATTTGGTCTTTGTTTTTGGTTCTTGACTTATTATAGAACTCCTAAAACCCTTGGGAATTTCCTGAGATCGGACAGTGACTTTTATTATTCCTAACAAACACCACCCCCTGCAATGCCCCCCACCCCATCCTTTTTTTTTTGAGACAGGGTCTTCCTCTGTCACACAGACTGAAGTGCAATGGTGCAATCTCTACTAGAGACAACCTCCACTCCAAGGTTCAAGTGATTCTCATGCCTCAGCTACCTAAGTAGCTGGGGTTACAGGCGTGTGCCACCATGCCCAGCTAATTTTTTGTATTTTTAGTAAAGACATGGTCTCACTTTGTTGGCCAGGTTTGTCTTGAACTCCTGGCCTCAAGTGATCCACCCATCTGGGCCTCCCAAAGTGCTGGGATTACAGGCATGAACAACTATGCCAGGCCCAAATTTCTTCAGATCTGAGTTTATGCTAATGAGATGATTTAGGGTGAGTGCCAAGATAGCCTCAAGATGGGGCTAGTCTGGTGACTGAAAAAACTAAGTGATTAGAGCATTGGAATTTTCAGTCCCACCCACTGAAGGGTGGGGTTGGAGATTGAGCTCCATAATATCTCTTAAACAATGAGATTCAGAGATCTTCTAGGGTGGTGAACACATCAAGGTCCTGGAAGAATGTTAAATACCAAGAGGAGATGGAACCCCCTTCCCGCTGTGCCTTGCCCTATGCATCTCTTGCATTTGGCTATTCCTAAATTGTATCTTTATAGTAAACTGGTAAGCTTTATAGTAAATTGGTACAATTCCTAAACTGTATCTTTATAGTAAAGTGTTTCCAAGAGGTTTTTGACCTATTGTAGCAAATTAGTGAATCTGAAAATGGGGGAGTTATTGGAACCAACTGATTTTGTAGTCAAGTAGGACAGAATTCTGAGTAGCCTGGGGATCTGGTACTTGGGACTGGCATATGATGTGAAGGCAATCTTGTGGACTGAGCCCTTAAATCTGTGGAGTCTGGTGCTAATTCCTGGTAGGTAGTGTCAGAATTCAATTGAAATAAAAAGAAGGACATTGGGTATCTGAAGAGTTGGAGAATTGATTGGTGTGAGTAAAAAACCCCACACAGCATCAGAAGGGTGAGTAAAAAAACTCTATCTATGGTCACTGTATTGATAAGTACCAGAGCCAGAATTCAAAGGTTTGAATTTTCAACCAAGTATTTTGTATTAACTTAAAGCCCTATAGGATACAAAACATTTTGTGATGTAAATTATTTCCCCACAATAAATTATCCAAGGAATTAAAAACAATACTGTTATTTGGTTATGAATGAATTTTCTGATGAATTTTTTCTACTTTTCTATTATGAGAAAATACGAAAATATCAAACCATCACATAAAATATAGGGATATGTAAAACCAAAGTGATTTACTCAAACACTTTAACACAGCACCCAAACTCTAAAAGTCCATATCTTAACATATGTAGTCAATGTTCTTACAAAGAAAGCAAAACACAAGCACACCTCTGCAGGAGATGGCTTCCTTCCCAATTGTATGTTTTCAGTTAGTCATAGCATAAAAGAAATATAAAACTTGGCCAAAGAATCATTGCCCTATAGAAGTCAGAAGTTAAATAAATTGTGTGAGGATGACTTTATTTCTGTAGTTGAAGCTACCCTCTCAATACAACTCGATTTTGATTGCTTTAAAAGCCAAAACTATTTTATTTATAACCCTAATGAAAAGTTCATGTATCATTGTTTTTATATAGAAGAATAGAAAAAAATTATTTCTTAAACTTGCATTTTCATATACTAGGGCAGCAGTTCTCAAAGTTTGAAAGTATAGTCTACTGTCCAACAACAACATGTGCATCACCTGGGGCCTTGTTAGAAATACAGATTCTCAAGACCCATTGCAGCTTTACTGAATCAGAAACTCTAGGGGTGGGGTCAAGCAATCTGTGTTTCAATAAGCTCTCTGGTTGATTCTGATGCAGGTTAAAGTTTGAAAACCATTGTACTATTATAAGAAGGCCAGTAATTATTTAGTAGATGCAGAGCCAAAGTACGTTAATGGTATGTTAATAAGGTAGTAGATACAATAGTATACTGATTTGAAATAGAAAGACATAGTAAATATTAAGTTGAAACTGAGGCAAGAAACACTTTTGGGGTTTGGGGAGGTAAAGAAAACAATGTCACAAGTGGTAATATAATTTATGTATGACTCTGAGGTGAAAACTGAGGTTCATGGCTTTCTTGAGAAAATACTTTCTCCCCATATTATTTAACAGTGCTTATCCTTTATTCTTTCCCTAATTTTTCTTCCTGTATATACAGAAGTTGAAGGTGATTCTTGTGGTATTAAGCCTAGATATTAATTCTACTTTTGGACTCATTACATTCTGCATTTAAATGCTATTCACATTTATAACCATAGAACATATATCCCTTTTCAACAATAGTACTGTACAATCAGTATATTCTATTGCAGTCATCTTACTGTAATTTTAGACAAATGACAAGGGTACCTTAAAAAAATAACTGCACTGACAAACCACATCAGACCAGATGCCATGCTAACCATCAGAATTCTGCTATCACCTCCTTTGGAAATGTGCCTGAAATTATGCTGACATCAAGAAAATGACAGATTACCTCCAGACCAGTTCAATCTTCCTCATATTGTATAATTTCTAGTTTAAGCCCAAAGAAAAGAAGTCAAGAAACATTTTCGTAATTCATCTACAGCAAAATTTTCACATTAGAACCACAAGTCACTTGTTCTGCCTAGCAAAATTATAAAAATAATATAAAAATAGTAAAAAGGATTTAAAAATATGATTAATCCTTTGAATATGAAAAGGCATGTACTATCTCACCTCTGGAGTGACATCTCGTGGTGCAAATCCTGTTCCTCCAGTTGTTAATATCAAATTCAGTTCCTTTTCATCACACCAATCTATGAGGGTTTCCTGAAAGAAAACAATAGTATAATCATGAGCAGAAGAACTTGCCTGCTTGCTCAAAACATCCCATTCCTTAGACACTTTGTATACAACAAGTAAACACAGATTCTTTTCAAGAGTCAGAAAGAAAATTTTGAAGCACAATTCATGGAACATTTTCACTCTTGATCAAAAGCACTGAAATTTTGAGTATTTATTTTGTTAATTACAGAAAATGAGGATGCAAGTATTAAATTCGTGAAAGTAAATAAAACACAAGAAAAACCATAAATAAAAAATTTATAATTAATGGCTTATTGGAAGTTCTTTTCAGCCATTCAAAATACAGTCTTTATGACAGTTAAAGAGATTAGAATTATATGTCATAAGATTTTGGAGCTGGCAGGGTCATTAGCAGATTTGCCTCTTTATTTTCTGAGACAACTGAAGTGCAATCTGCTTAAATAATTTGCAAAGTTACACAGCTAGTTTGTAACAAAGTGAAACTAGGATATCCATCTGCTGATTTTTTTTTCAATCTTGCTAATTCTATTAACCCATTCTACATTTTAGCTATTTGCTGAAAAGGGCAATTAAGTGCTTATTAAATTAAAATCATATACTTGCATTGGTATTATATTGTTTCATTATGATTTTACAATTCAGAGTCAAAATTTAAAAATATAATTTCATCATTTTAATTGCTGATAACTGGTGTGAAATACAAATAGCAGGCTGATACTGAGATGTACAATACAATCCCCTCAGTTCTCAAATTCATCAGTGGACACAAAATATAGAATTATTTAGAATAAATCCAAGATCTAAAAATAATTTTTTCCCTTTCTTTGCAGATTTGTGTTTTATTCTGGTATCACAGAAATGCAGAGCTCAGAGCTCCAAATGAAGGGAATTTTTCTGTGCAATGATTAATTAATGGCAACAAACTATTTTTTAAAATGTAAATTGTAGATTACTGAGAGCCCACCTAATGAATTTCAATCCCTGATATAGTTATAATTTTGTTCTGAGGATAGCCCCTAAAAAAAATCAACGATTATTATAATAAAGGTGCTTATAAAGTGGTTTCATAAACCAAAGTTAAAACTTCAATTGTCTGTGCTTCTTTATAAAAAGTAGAAAAGCTTAAATACTCACTCTTCTAAATAGTTCACTATTATTTCTGGCATATAAAAACACCAGTTGGATGTAGTGGCTCACACCTGTAATCCCAGCACTTTGGGAGTCTAAGGCGGGTGGATAACGTAAGGTCAGGAGTTTGAGATCAGCCTGGCCAACATGGCAAAATCCCGTCTCTACTAAAAGTACAAAATTAACCAGGCATGGTGGCACATGCCTGTAGTCCCAGCTTCAGGAGACTGAGGCAAGAGAATCATTTGAACCTGGGAGGCGGAGGTTGCAGTGAGCTGAGATTGTGCCACTGCACTCCAGCCTGGGTGACAGAGTGAGGCTCCATCTCAAAAAATCAAAAAACAAAACTATAAGTTCTAACCGTGCCATTGACATAATGGTGACCCCCGTGAACCACATATACACTTCTGGAGGGCCTTCTGGAAGATGATGAAAAGAGGAAGAAATGACCAACCCCAGAGGCACTTACTTAACTTTGAGACATTCTCTATTGTTTCTTATTCCAGCCTCAATTGACAAGGCCATTGGACTTTGTGACTTTGTGGTCTCAAGTGGTATCGGTACAAAAATACACATGACCAATGGAACAGAATAGAGAATCCAAAAATAAGACCGCACACCTACAACTGTGTGATCTTTGACAACCTGATAAAAACAAGCGATGGGGACAGAATAGAGAACCCAGAAATAAGACTGCACATCTCATCTAAAACTGTCTGATGTTTGACAAACTCGACAAAAACAAGCAATAACCTATTCAATAAATGGTGCAAGGAGAACTGGCTGGCCATATGCAAAAAATTGAGTCTGGACCCCTACCTTACACCATATACAAAAAAATTACCTCAAGATGGATTAAAGACTTAAATATAAAACCCAAAACTATAAACACCCTAGAAGACAACCTAGGAAATACCATTTAGGATATATGCATGGGCAAAGATTTTATGACAAAGACATTAAAAGCAATTGCAACAAAAGTAAAAATTGACAAATGGGATGAATTAAACCAAAGAACTTCTGCACAGCAAAATAAACTATCAAAAGAGTAAACAACCTACAGAATGGGAGAAAACTTTCTGCAAACTATGCATCTGACATAGGTCTAATATCCAGCATCTGCAAGGAACTTAAACAAATTTACAAGAAAAAAAACCAAACAACCCTACTAAAAACTGGGCAATGGACATGAACAGACACTTCTCAAAAGACATACATGTGTCCTATAAGCATATGAACAAAAGTAAAACATTACTGATTGTTAGCAAAATGCAGATCAAAACAACAATGAGCTATCATCTCAAGCAAGTCAGAATGACTATTACTAAAAAGTGAAATAATAACAGATACTGGCAAGGTTGTGGAGAAAAAGGGACACTTTTACACTGTTGGTGCGAGTATAAATTAGTTCAATCATTGTGGAAGACAGTGTTGTGATTCCTCAAAGACCTACAGAGAGAAATACCATTTGAACCAGCAATCCCATTACTGGGTATATATCCAAAGGATAAATCATTATATTATAAAGACACACACATGTATGTTTATTGCAGCACTATTTACAATAGCAAAGACATGGAATCAACCTAAATGCCCATCAATGACAGACTGAATAAAGAAAATGTGGTATCTATACACCATGGAATACTATGCAGCCACAAAAAAGAATGAAATCATGTTCTTTGCAGGGATATGGATGGAGCTGGATCCCATTACCTTTAGCAAACTAATGCAGAAAGAGAAAACCAAATACCACATGTTCTGATTTAGAAGTGGAAGTTAAATGATGAGAACACATGAAGGAATAACATACACTGAAGCATATGGAAGGGGAGAGGGTGACAGGAGGGAGAGAAGCAGGAAACTAATGTGTACTAGGCTGAATACCTGGGTGATGAAATAATCTGTACAACCAACCCTCATGACATATGTTTACCTATGTAACAAACCTGCACATTCTACACATGTACCCCTAAATTTCAACTTAAAGTTAAAAAAAGAATTATAAACATTTATTCATTCTTCATTCTGATACTTAGTCTGTAAGTCTAGAAACAAAGTTTGTACTTAATAATTACATATATCCTACTGTGGAAGATTAAATATGGTCATACATTCTTTGTAAATCTTCCTGTCAGGAGGTGGGGTCTACTTGCACAACACTTGCAATTGGGCTGGGCATCTGACTTGATTTGATCAATGGTATGGGGCAATAAGTCATGTTGTGACAGTTCTGAAGCCTAGGTTTCCAAAGGTTTCCATTTTTCTGTCTTCAGTCTTTGGTAAACTTCTATGACTATGTCAGGAAGGCTGGGCTAGGCAATGGAATGACGGGTGACCATTTGGAGAGAAAGGTCTAGTGGAATAGCCAGCACCAAGGTCCCACACATCTGAGTGAGGCTATCTTATATTCTCCAGACCCAACTAAGCTGACATTATTTCAGCCATATGAGTGACCTTACTCATGTGGCTGAAATAACAAGACTAGAAGAAGATATTCCCACTCAGAAAGCCCACAGACTTGTGAGAAATAATTAATCACTATCTGTGTTAAAGCCACCAAATTTTTATGCTGGTTTTTAATGGAACAATAGAATACAAAAACAACTACTTTCAAGTTAATATTTTGGCATCCTCTTCTTTTACTATTTCCAATTTATATTTTCTTAGTGATATATTTATCTTTTATACTAAGCTTCAGAATAGTTCTAAAGGTAAGCTTCATGTGTTATATTTAAATATATTAGCATAAAGTCTTAAGAATATGATTATGTAAGTTAATTTTCAGTTTAAGAAACATGCAAATACCTAGTATGGGCCAAGAATATGCCTAGTATGTGCCAGAAATATATACACACACACACACACACACACACAAACACACAAATATATATTTTAAAAAGCATGACAAATGTGCTTGATGTCACAGACATCAGAGATATAAACAACATGGTAGATCAATATGTTATGGTTAGTGTTATTAGAGAGGATATATACTTCTTAAGAAAACGGTTTCAGAAATACTACATGTATTTATAAATATAAAATGTTCTCTTTACACTTACATTATTTGACAATAATTAAAAACATGATAGAAATTTTTAGCAAAATTATTGTTGGCAAAGAGTAAACAACTCATCAAAGAGAAAAATGGAGGCAATAACAGAGCTAAGAGAGAGTAAGTTTAGATAATCATCATTTTCTGTATCTACCTGGAGTCTTATACTTATCCATTATAATAGGTACTTTTCTTTTCTCTACATTTTTTCTGTCTCAATCTTCTGAGTTTGCCTCCAATTTTGGTTATTTCTTGTCTTCTGTTAGCTTTGAGATTTGTTTTTGGTTCTCTAGTTGTTTTACTTGTGATGCCAGATTGTTAACTTGAGATCTTTCTCATTTTTTGATGTGAACATTTGGTGCTATAAATTTCCAACACTGCCTTAATTCTGTCGCACTGATTCTGGTATGTTGTATCTTTGTTCTCATTAGTTTTAAAGAACTTAATTATTTCTGCCTTAATTTCATTATTTACCAGTCATTCAGGAGCAGGTTATTCAATTTCCATGTAATTGTACAGTTGTGAGTAAATTTCTCAATCTTGATTTCTAATATGATTGGACTGTGGTCCAAGTGATTGTTATAATTTCATTTCTTTTATATTTCCTCAGGAGTGTTTTACTTCTAATGATGTGATCAATTTTAGAGTATTTTTCGTGTGACAATAAGAAAAATGTATGTTCTGTTCTTTTTGTGTACGGAGTTCTATAAATATCTATCAGGTTCATTTGATCCACGGCTGCGTTCTAGTCCTGAATATGTTTAACTTTTTTTCTCTATGATCTGTCTAAAATTGTCATTGGGGTGTTAAAGATTTC